CACCCTCTTCTGTCCTCCACAAGCACTACACGACATGAGTGCACTTACACACATACAGGCATAATGCTCATACACATAAAATAAAAAATAAGCAAATAAATAATAATTTTTTAAAAAGAAAAGAAAAGTACCCTTCCTACCCCAGCAGATATTTTACCAGAGGATGGGGAGTCAAGGCTAGGAGAAATGTGCACAAACTTTGTTAAACTAACCCTTATCTCCTCATCACTTTTGAACCATTAACTGTCCTAGTCCCACACTCCATCTTGCCATGTTTCCATGATTTACTTTTCTTTATCCAATCCAGTAATAGTGGGCTCTAACTGCTTCTATGGGTGTTCACTTTTCCTTGGAGTCCCATGTACATGTAAAAACTACTTAATAAAATCGAAGTGCTCTCCTTCTGTTGGTCTGTTTTATATTCATTTAATTCCTGAGTCCAGCAAGACCTAAGAAGGTAAAGGAATTTTTTTACCTCTTCTACAAGGATAAAGGAAAAGAGCAGTGGGGCTGGTGAGGGCCCAGTGGTTAAGAGCACTGACTGCTCTTGCAGAGGACCCTTGTTCCTTACCCAGAACCCACATGACAGCTAACAACCGTCCGTACTCCAGTTCCAGGGAATCTAACATCTTCTTCTGACCTCCACAGGCATTGTATAACATGGTTGTACTTACATACATGCAGACAATACACTCATACACACAAAAAATTAAAATAATAAAATATTTTTTAGAGGAAGGGAGGAGCCGGGTGTGGTGGCACATGCTTTTAGTCCCAACACTCAAGAGGCAGACACAGGAGATTTCTGTGAGTTTGAGGCCAGCATGGTCTCCATAGTGCCAGGCCAGCTGTGGCTACAGGGAGACCCTGTCTCAAAAAGACCAAAAGAAAAATAATAAAATAAAGGAGGGTAATATACAGAGTGCTACAAAATGTGATGTAAAACTTCAGAGAAGATGGAAATTAATTGAGATTAAAATGAGAGAAAAAATTTAAACTGGGCTTTTGAAAGATGGGCAGGATTAGAAAAAAGAGAATAGAGTTTAAGCAAAGGCAGAAAACTTGAGATTGATCTGGTAGAGTCAAGGTAGAGGCCAGGCACGGTGGCCCAGGCCTGTAATCGTCCAGCACTTAGGAGGCAGAAGCAGAATAAACCAAGGAACTATTAAAATCTTGCTTTTCAGCAGACAAGGGAAACAGCTTTTGAAAGTTAATTTTCTGTTTGGACTCCTCTAAGCTAGATGTGAAACTCTGAAAAACTCTGTCTCTCTGTTTCATTTTTTTCTTGATACTGGGGATCAAATCTATGACCTCTGTACATGCTAGGCAAGTCATGTACCAATGAACTATATCTCAATTCTCTTTTTACTGTTTTTTTTTGTGGGGGGAGTTAAAGTTTTAGAGACAGGGAAGGTCTCACTTAAGTTTCCCAGGCTGGCCTTGAACTTGCAGTCTTTCTGCTTCTGCCTCCCAAGCCCTCCCTCTATTGTGTACAATGATGTGATGGTAGGATGGGTCACTCTCTTCCTTTGGTGATGTTGGAAGTCATATCATGGTTGTTGTAGTCTTTGACATCTTCCTATTCCACCTCCTCCTACTACTCCCTCATTCCCCTTCCTCCTGATAGACTTTTATCCTTTTCCACCAGCCATTTCTAGACACTGCTTATGTACTCATAGCCCTTGAAGGACAGGTGCTAAGGCAAATTTCAGTTGCCCTGTGTCCACAGGTGCTAAGGCAAATTTCAGTTGCCCTGTGTCCTATCTTTTAGCAAAATTGCATTGGATTGAATTAGAGTGGGAATAGACTTCTCTAATGATCTAAATAATAGTCTCGAGCTATTTAAAGTTCAATTTAAATCAAATGAAATTCTTCAGATGTTCTAGCACATCCCTAAAATCTATGTGCTAAGTGACAACCACATTAAAGAGTCACATAGATAGTGTTACTATTGTTGGCATGACTAGGGCTGTAGGACAGCTTTACCCATGTGTCTAAGGCCTTGGTGTTTGCTGGGCCCCTTAGTTCTCCACAAAACCTTTCTCTTCACACACTGGACTCTCATCAGTGACCTAGTCCCAGTTTGAAGCTGTGAAGCCACTTCCAGCCTAGGTCTACAAGTCCAAACTCATCATTTCTTGTTGATCATTAAGGTACAGGATCAAAGCTGGGCATGGTGGCTTATGAGCTTAGAATCTAATTTTCCCAAAGTCCCTTTCCCATTAAAAAAAAGAACATTTCAGTAAGAGTTAGCTCAGTTAGTAAGGGGTTTCCCTTACAAGCATGAGGACCTGAGTCCAGTCCCTAGAAGAAGAAAAAAAATCCAGACATGGTGGCACACACTTGCAATCTCAGGGCTCTGGCAGTGGAAACAGGCATATCCCTGGGACACACTGGCCAGCCAGCCTATCCAAAGAGGCAAACTCCAAGCTAATGAGAAATTCTGTATCAAAAACTAAGGTGAGGGGAGCTGGAGAAAAGGTTCAGCGGTTAAAAGCATGTATTGCTCTTGTAGAGGACCAGACTCCAGTTCCCAGAACTCACTTTGGGTAGCTCACAAGTGCCCAACTCCAGCTCCATGGGGATCCAATGCCTCTGGCCTCAGAGGGCACATGGCTTTATGTCCTGTTTATCTTACTTGACCTTGGGCTTCCCCCATCTCACCAAGTTTCCTCTTTCCTCTTGGTCACTGCATCCTCTGTGGCTTCTTTGCTAGCACAGTCTCCTGTTGACTTTTTTTTCTTCCCATACTGCTCTGTTTTTATGAATTTCCTTTGCAGTGTTCTACCAGCTCCATTAACATTTAAGTGCTTCAGCATCCTGTTCTAGCCATTTACTTACCCTACACATTCCTAGGCAAATCTATTCTGTTAAAAATAATCTTATATTTGAATTTATTTCTCACATAAATACATGTACTTAGTATGCATTAATAAACACAATTTCAAAAAGAAAAAGTATCAGTGCATTCCTCTCTGTCCTATTTCTAAAATCAACTAGACATAATTTATGCATAAGACATGCCTTTGCCTTTGCTTTTTTAACCTATCAAAGGCTCAATTTCATAAAGTTTCCGTTGGAAAAAGAGGAAAACTTTTGAGGATCATAGAGATGAGTTTGACTGAAAATGGAAAAAAATCTGTAAACAAGAAAGTTTTTTTTAATTATTTTTATTTTATGTATATGACTATTTTGCAAGCATGTAAGTGCACCCATGCATGCAATGCCAGTGGAGGCCAGAAGAGGGCATCAGATCTCCTGGAACTGGTTGTTAGACATCATGTGAGTGCTGGAAATTGATCCTGGGTCTTCTGCAAGAGCAGCCAGTACTCTTAACAGCTGAGCCATCTTTCCAGCCCACATATTCTCTAGTTGTGATACAATCCTGCCCAGTATTTTTAAACAAGAATATTAAATGTACATTAAAAACCCAAAGTTTTCACAAAAAAAATAAGTATATTTTATACACAAGACATAGATCGGTTCTTTTTTTTTCAATTATTATTTTTGAGACTTTCATACATGAGTACTGTATTTACATCGTTTCTACTCCCCCCTCAATTCCTCCAGTGTCTCCCTCACTCCCTTTCAAATTCATGAACTCTTTTTCTTTTTTTTTCTTTTTTCTTTTTTTTTTTTTTTTTTTTTTTTTTTTAAAAAAAAAAAAAAAAAAAAAAAAAAAGAGGACGATAAATCTTTCACTGTGATATATCAAAATATGGTCTTTTAGAGACAGGGTCACCCTGTAGCCCCAGCTGACCTGGGACTCTCTATGTAGACCAGGCTGGCCTCAAACTCACAGAAGTCCACCTGCCTCTGCCTCCCAAGTGCTGGGATAAAAGGCATGTGCCACCATGCCTGGCTGACCGCTTTTTCTCTTTTTAAATAAAATATTTTTAATTATTTTTTATTATTATTATTTTATTTTTTTAATCAAAAGAAGCATTTCATTACAACAGCATTAACCTATTTTTAATTATTTTTATTGTTTGTGTATGAGTGTATTGCAGTGCATGTATGTAAGTGCACGCGTGTCATTCAATGCCCTCGGAGGCCAGAAGAGGGTATCTGGACCTGGAGTTACAGTTAGCCATCATATGGGTGCTGAACCCAGCACCCTCCTCTGTACGAGCAGGATCTTAACCCCTGAGCCATCTCTCCAGCACCCCCCTCTCCTTTTTTGAACCAGGGTCTCATGTAGCCCAGGCTTGCCTCAAACTTCCCACACAGTTGTGCATGATCTTGAACTTCAGACCCTGCTGCCTCCATCCACCGAGTGGTGGGATTATAGGAGTGCACTACCGTGCCGGGGTTATATGGTATTAGGGATCGAACCCATGGCGTCGTGCATGCTAGACGTACTCTATCAACTGAGCTCCAACCTAGCACAGCTTTTCTTTTAAAATTTCTTTGAGGGTCGGGGAGCCTGTACGCTGGGGGGATGGCAAGCCTCCCAAATGTTCCTCGATTTCCCTTAGGACCCTGGGTAGAAATCTCTGGAATGGATAATGAGCTAAACTCAAAAGATTTTATTAAAATCAGTCCTAAACGAGCGAATCCAGACCTCGCTGGCCACGTAACATCCCCCCCACCCTCGACACACACACACACACACACACACACACACACACACACACACACAC